TTTGTGCTACATTTCTGTAGCTGATGTGTAATAATAGCAATAATAAAAACTTTTTCAAACATTTCAAACTGTACAGATTATTATTTGAACAAATAGAAGCTTCAAATATATTTGAAGCTTATTTGAATATTTGAGAAAATGAAATCAGTAAATGTTTAGAATGCTCATCTGAAAAATAAATAAACTTATGAATAAATAAAAGTAATTGTCAGTTAAGTTGTTTTTTTATTAACTAATTAATTAACTGACTAAACGCTACTGCTCAGCAACAGCAACAAATTTAAAAAAAAAAAAAGTTGTGAACTATAGACCAGACTCAATGAACTGTAACAAACCATGCAGAGAGAAAAACTGCAGAGTTGGCAGATCATATTTTGTGAGTTTACCACACCCATTAACACATTTACACAGCACACTGTCACATTGTGCATAAATACATGGTTCAAAAGCTTCTACACAGAGACGCTATGTTGGATGGATGTTTGTAGCATCTTGTGGGGAACACAAAACAGAAAAAAAGCACTTTGCAACACTTTAAGCATCACTGTACATCACATACTGTAGTACTAGCTTTTGTATTTGTATTTGATAAAAGTCAGGGGTGACTCCCGAGAAACCGTGACAAACAAAGTCTTCATCTATGCAAATATTTGGGTTTTTTGGTGCTACCTTGTGAAGACTTACATACGCAACTGAAATGAAAACAGAAATAGACCATTAATTCCTTGTCAAAGGAGAGCCAGAGCAGAAAACAAGAGACTGCAGCTAGGAGTTGAAATAAACCTCTGCTGAATGCTGGGCTAAATCCTATTTCCTTATCATTAAGCCAGCAGAAACACTGTGTCCATCCAGCTGAGACACTCTGGCTGTGACAGGCTCTGAATCATCTGTAGAGGTCCTATATGCAGTTTAAACATACTGCGCCACATATAGGCGTGCTGCTCTTTTTGCCTTCACAGTTACAGTTTCTTTCCACCAAAGCATATTTATGAGGAGTCAAAGTGCAGCAAACGAGGAAGGAACATGTTAGGTAAATGGCTGATCCAGCAAAGATCGCTGAGTGTGAAGGGCGTGATTTTCACACCAACGTGTAATTCTCGGGAACAATCCTTACATATGTGGACGCACACTTTTTGTGTAGGCCTTCAGTCAATTCAATGCTGAATAGGAGCAGAGAGCTGGCAAGACTCCCCGGTGGCACTGGCTGACCCACTTCTATGCAACTCTATCCCTAAAGTGACCCACTGTAGAGCCAGAGGACACACACGTATAGCCAAGCACCAGCACACACATTCACACACACAAGCGCACAAAACTAAACTTGTCTGCCTAAACCCTAGAGGACTGAGAAACAGGGGAAAAAAATCTGCTAAATGCTGCCAATATCCCCTCTCTCTCCTTCTCGTTACACTCTGTTTTCAGCTTCTCTTACTTGTCTGAAGATCAGCCATTTAGGTCTCTGCTATCTGATCTAGCTAAACTAGCTACAGGGCCACACTTAATATTGGCTGCCTTTTTTGAGCAGAACAGATGTTTAGATCCACCCCCTCAATCAAGTTGACTTGTCGGCTTTCGCTAATTCTCTCTGATATTGGGATAGATATAATACAGGCAAAATAATCTTGTAGCATGCTCAAACTGGCTTTAATTCAACCACCATCGTCTATTTTTCAAAAATACTTTTTAGATTTTTGGAAGCACAAAAAAAAACAAAACATACTTGTTTCACCACAAAAAACAAACATATATTATACATAATAGCTCCAAGTTGGTGATGTTATTCCAATTTATGGCAACTCTACTCTGCTCTGTGACAAGAAAATGAGCTTTCAGCTGCACTGCCAATGCCAGAACCAACTGCTGCAGAGGGTAGAGATAATTCTGTCTGATGTGAGTGTGATCAGACAACATTATTAACAACAAAACCCATCTTAGTGGAGTAGCTGGTTGGTAAGCAGGCAGTAATCAGCTCATGCACTGACAGCTGATGTTTGTGCAGTCTTTTTCATGTGAGAGCGAGATTCCATTAAAGAAAGCAAAAGTGACATTTGACAAGCTACAACAGATACCACAAAATCTGTCGCCGCCAGTGGCTTTTGTCTATGACAATATGCATCCATATGATTAAAGTGTCCCAGTTTTTCTTGTTCTTGCAAATAAACGGTTACCATCATTATAAATATTTAAATGACTTATTGTTTTAGCGGAAAATGACAAAACACTGAAAAATGCTCATTACGGCGCCCTTGAGGTAATGTCTCGTCTTTGTCTAAGCAGCACAGCAAATCTTAGAAGTTAATTAAAATAAATAAATACAAAGACGACACAGATTTGGCTGCCAGTTGTGCACACTAGAGAAGCTGCTATCAGAATTTTGCAATGACAGGCAAAAAGACTGCCAACTTTACTTGTGTGAAGCAATAACAAAATGATTAACTGGGCAATTTCTAAAGTTCTAGTTACACTTTATTAAATACTTCTCACCTACTTCACAGGCCTATGTTAGGTGGTAAGCAAGATGAACAACGCACAAAGAGTGGAAGTGCAATAAATTTTGCTCACTGATATTTAAAGCACTCACACGCTCAGCAGCCACTGCCAGGTCATGGTGGCTGTGCATGTGAGCAATACCAATGTAACAAAGCAGGGTGACCCAGGTTTTGGGGGGGGGGGGGAGACAGGCAGGCTGGTATGAGCTCCTCTCGCATGTATCTCTTTATGTGCATGTGTGCGATCCGGTCTTAGTCTGGAAGTAGGAACAATGGCATTCCTGTGCTCTGAGCTCCAGGTGGCTGTGGAAACCCAATCCCAAACCAAGCCTCACTGGCACACAGATCGCCAGGGTCCCCGAATGCTGCTGCTTCCCTCCGGAGACACAGATCAGAATAGAGCTATTGTTCCAGAGCAGCTCGGAGTAATAAATGCGCCACAGCCACGCTTGATGACAAACACTAGCAAACACGCAAACAGGACGGCAGTGATTTTCGCCTTCACTTTCCAGATCATTTACTCAGCAGCAAAGCCAATGAAAACGTGAGCTACTAATTTCTCACTGTGATTAAAAATAGGGAAAAGGTTAAGACACTTTGGTTGTAACTGTCCCTTATAATTTAGATGTTTTGTAAAAACATGCTTTTGTAATGACTATATCCACCTGCAGCAAACACATACACAACTCATTACTTAGTCATACTCACTATATGACTTAAAACCACAGTGACGTACTTTCCCCACACACTTTTTTCCCTCCTCAATTAATCTCCTTCACTAAAAAACTAATTTTGTTATATTCCCAATGCTGTACGTCCCACAGATTGGCCAAAATGTTCCCAGTTTGTGTCAGCCATGACAAACATGGTTACACAAGCACACACACGGATGCAAATCCGCTACAGCCTGAACACACAGTCAACGCAACATAGGGCAGGAAACACATCATGCAGACTCCACGGCCTTGAAATGAGGAACATGATTCATTTCCTTTCAGAGCTGGATAGTCATGCCTTATAACACAAGCCTGAGTTTAGATATCCAGCTCTGAGGCAAAGATCCTCAACATGGCACAAAACCCCAGTTATGATTCCACAACTTCAACTTCCCATATAGATTTCAAGGAAGCAAGCACTATGTGGTCAGGTTATTTCTTCTTCTTCTTCTATTTGGTAGTCAGCGCTACCACACAGATAATCCTGTTAAAAATGATCAAAGCCTTGAGCTCGCCTGCACCATGGGACCGCTGCTACAGGTAGTGAACAAGGTACAGCACAGCTTCCCTTAAGCAACACAGCATATTCTCCTGCTGCACTCTTACAGGCAATGCCACACATGTGTGTGGTGTGCACACACACGCACACACACACACACGTGTGCACACACGCACACACACACACACACACACACACACACACACACACACACACAGAGGATAAATAATACATGCTTCCTCTTTTCTCTCCCTTTAAGGAACATGACAGATTAATTTAATTGGTTCCCTGTCAATCCTACAGCTTCATCAGCTCTGCTGTGCAGAGCTGCCGAGTCTCGCAGGATTGATAGTGGATCCATTTTCTTATCTCTGAGATAATTACAGCATTGTTAATGCCCGCACATTCTCTCTTCTTTCACTCATACATACACGCACACATCAAGCCCCACGTGCTTTAAGTAACCCTTTACAACGTCTTTTTTAGTGACTGCGTTACATTCAAAGTGACTAACCTCTTCAAATTTGCACTGGCTAGTTTTGTCCTCTTTTCCCAGCTAAAGTCATCTGACCTCTATTAGGCGCACAACAACAGACCAGGTTAAATTCCGGGTTTACACATCATCTTTTTCGGGTTGTGATGCAACAATGAAGCATTAAAATGTTCAGAAAGGAGGAAAAGAGCAAAGGGAAGAGCAGATACACATTCCACTGTAACCATTATGCTCTACTTTAAACAGACGCTTTCTTTTCATCTCATTGGGTGAGATCACAGAGCAGTCAGGAAAACTTGATAACTAGCACTCATTTGAATTGACCGTTAGTAGGGGGGAAACTAGTCGCTGCAGTCAAATGCGGCAAGTGTGCGATAGCACTGACCCCGGCAGTGGCCCATTCGCGCTACAAATCAACAGTCAGGGTTGAACGCTAACGCGGGATGGATAGAAAACAAGTATTTATGAGCACCGTTATCAGGGAAGCAGCTTTCCCTTCACTTGGCGTGTTTTGGTGCAGTTGTGGAGCAGCATCTACCGGTTAATTCACCTGAAAGCAAAGTGGCAATCTGTGCCTTAAGCGGAGAGTCGCATCGCATCCCTGTTGCTCGGCTGCTTCTGTCAACAAGCCCCGCTTTGCCATAACGGCGGCTGCTTGCCTGCTACCAGATAACCGTAGGGGGGTCACTGGGCAGAAGCAACCCTCCAAAAATGACTATGTGGCTAAGAGAGGAAACAACAATCACTGCAATTGGTGTTTAGGCTTTAAAAAAAAAAACAAAAAACAAGTATTTTCACCTTACCTAGAGTGACTGGTCACCTCAATCAGCCGTGGCGCAAAGAGTCCGCAGGCAGAAAACTGACACCGACTCGGTACAAAGTATCACCGCTAAGTTAGCGGGCTAGCTAGCTTAGCGGGCTAACGATGGAAGGAAAAGGGGGGTGAGTATGGCTCTCTCTGTGTCGTCGAGAGAAGGCAGTTGCCTAAGAAAACAAGCCAGGGATGAGGTGTTTCTCACGCAGCTACAGGAGCACCTTCCGGTGTCAAAAGGCGTGAACGGAGGAGACATCCATTTGAAAAGAGCGTGCGGTAGGACTGTCGGTGTCAGGCGGCTGTAGCGCTATGCGGTGTGAGCTCTCTCTCCCGGAGCGGACGTACAACCTCTGCCTGGGTCTGTGCGAGAGAGAGAGAGGGAAAGAGAGAGAGAGGAGCAGGGCTGCTGATGTGCGGAGCAAACACAGGCAGCATCACTGCTCATCCCTCCTTCGACTATCACAACCCGGAAGAAATACTGTAACTGATCCCTGTTTTTATTTTTACACAGTCCAAAAAAGAGAACATTTCAGTTCATTGATCACCACTATTTATTTACGCATATTTTCATTGATTGAAACCTACTTGTTAGTGTGAATGATGCACTTGGAGCTCGTGTGACGTGAGTGATGTATTATAAAACAAACATTATAGAGGTCATAATTATAGTAATAATGATTATAATAATAAGCCCAAAGTCAGATCAGTGAGATGGTGCTTGTAATGAGCCTATAATTATTAACCACGCGGTATAAATGAGCAGGGGGTGATTCTTGTGAAAACTTCTGGAACTGCAACACTTGTAACACGGTATTAACTGGCACTCTCCTTCCTACAGCTCCCTTGTGGGAAATATTCATATTTAGGAAGAAAACTAAGTAAATGTCATTTTTCTCATTTGAAATTAATGTCCAACTCAGAGTCAGAAAGCACTGAGTATTGTAAATCTGCAAGGCATGGACTTTTTTTAAAAAATTTAAATTAAATTATTATTATTATCATTATTATTTTAACCAAAGAAGGAAGCTTTAAGCAACACACCTGTCAGGAAAGCTACTGTGTTTCCTTTAAAAAAAACAGCTCTTTTAACTCAATTGATCCTATCTCATCCTGTCACAAGACCAAAACAGAGAAAAGGCAATCATCTTCAGACTGCAAGACAACCCATGCAGGCACAGGGAGAACATGCAAAATCGACATAGTTAGGTTTCCGTCGGTGAGCAAAATTTAAAAGCAAACCCTTTTTGCTGTTTCATCAGTAGGGGGAAAAATACATTCTGAAACTTTGCATTGTTAAAAACCTGCCTTACTTACTGTTATAGCCCTTAGTTCATCAGTGCAAGCTCTTTAATCTTTTACTGGGTGGGTTCATTTACATTTAGTAAGCCAAATTCAAGACATTCAAAAGCCTAAAGCAAATACAGAAAGCCCTTTGTTTTCAACTAAAGCTTTGCAGAAAGTTTGGAATGATATTGGTTTAAGTGACTTTGAATATGGCATGATTGTTGGTGCCAGAGGAGCTGGTCTGACTGTTACAGAAACTGCTGATCTACTGGGATTTTGCAACCATCTCTAGGGTTTACAGAGAATGGTGCATGAAAGAGAAAACATCCAGTAAGTCATTTTCTCTGGGTGAAAATGCCTTTGTTGATGCCAGAGGTCAGACAAGAATGGCGATAGTAATGCTGTGGAGGATATTTTCTTGGCACACTTTGGACCCCTTAGCACCAACTGAGTACTTCTTAAACACCATAGCCTGCTGACTGCCTCCATCCTTTTATGACCACAGCGTACCAATCTTCTGATGGCTGCTTCCAGCAGGATAATGAGCCATGTCACAAAGCTCAAACTCTCCCACTGGTTTCCTGAACACTGCGGTGAGTTCACTGTACTCAAATGGGCTCCACAGTCACCAGATCTCAATCCAGGAGAGCACCTTTGGGATGTGATGGAACAGGAAATTAACATCATGGATGTGCAGCCAACAAGCCTGCAGCAGCTGTGCGATGCTATCACACAGGAGTGTTTCCAGCTCCTTGTTGAGTCTATGCCACAAAGAATTAAAGCAGCGCTGAAGGCAAAAAGGGTCCAAATAGGTATTAGGAAAATGACCAGTGAGTATATATCCGTAACGTATCTATCCCTATTAATAGAAGCTGCTTCCATCAGGGCGTTAGTTAATAGTGTCTTGAGGATGCAGGGAAGTTTAATATCAACTGGGAAACATTGCTGAAAGCAATATATTTTATCAGGCCATTTACTCACATTTTTCATCCTTTCTGTCACAGTTGTAATAAAATATACAGTTTTATATGAATACATAGGAATAAACAACAACGAAGCACTAATAGGCCATTTTAAAAGAGGGCTACCTCAGCTTGTTTTTATAGGCCACTACTTGCACACATACCATCAATCCAATGAGACCTCAGATCCAGCTAATGGCTTTTCATGTATTGCTATATAGAGAGGATAAAAGCTGCACAGAAAAAAGAAGGAAAAGCAGAGAAAGGTGAATGGGCGCTTCTTTTCTGGCATAAGAAAAAGGGAGAAATGGGACACGCTCAGTTACAAGAAGCTATAAATAAGATGTCAACAGTATTGCTCACCATTACCTGCTCCATCAAGAGAGTGTTTAGATGCCTTGACTGAAAACATAACCTTTTTTGTCACAATTTATTACCAGAACAAGAGAAGCAGTTGGGAGCGCTCACACCATTTCCAGTGCTGGGCAGAGCTAGCTGTCTGCCTCAGTGAGTTCATTTTCTTCAACTCATACCAATTTATTGCCCGCACATTGCCTACAACGGTAAATTCTGTTTCACATTGGCAAAGCAGACACGGACGTAATTTTGAAAGATACACCGCGGTCAACATATGTTGTGCAAGATATGGCGTTGGTCCACTCTCTCAGGGTTGCACATGCAAATTGGTTTGTGTCAGCACGGGTGCCAAACTCCTGTTGGACTTAATGAAGTCAGCGAGGAGCCGAGTCTCATTTTTATGAGTCATCGCTCTACCTGCACAGACAGAAAACACTCTGCCTCGACTTGATGAGATGTGAATAGCAATACAGCTGCACTTCTAGGTCAGGACATGCACAGTGTATTCAAAAAGCAGCATATAGCACAGTGAATGATTAAATATGTGATACACACACACACATGCTCAACTTATTTGCATTTTCCCCGGACAAGCTTGCCATCTTGTGTTAGTCATCATGCATTTACAAAAAGTTCCGACAATCTTGTTATTTTTTCTTTTCTATATTTAAATCTCACATGTGCAACCCC